GAGCAAGAGGAGTAGAAAACACAACTAAAACAGTGTGCTATGTATATTGTATAGGATTGGTGGAGGGAGAGGAGGAGGGAGCGATGAGAGGAAGGGAGTTGGAGAGCTAGTGTTCCTCTCTCACGTAGCCTGGCTCTAGGCCTTTATTGCGCTCTACAGTCCTTTTTATAGTCTCTAAACCTTGTTCTGTCCCATCTCCTCTTCTGCTACTGCTAATAAAAAGCTTCATCGGTTTCGGCCTAGCCTCCTGATAGGACGATTAATTCATCCCCTCTTCTTTTCTAAAGGCAGGTCATCAGGCAAAGTTTTCTGAATAAAACCTGAATAGAACCAAGTCGCTTTGACCTGACACCAAACATTCATTAGTATACGAGCCACTAAAGCGTTGGACCGTTCGCAACGAGAATCAATTCTACGAACGAACCATTTGAAGAAGTAATACAAATAAACAAAACAAAAATCACCACTAAAGCTTATTTCTGAACAATAACGGAAACTACAATCTACTTTGCAAAATAAGTTTGTCTCATAGAGTGAATTGCGGCATTTTTCAAGAAGTTAAAATTAAATTTAACTCGGACAGCGTTCTTCTAAATAATATCCATAATCCACCATGCACTTCTTTATCTACTATCACGTGACTTTCTCTCTTAGGAAAGCCTCATGACCACCCATAACGATTGAAAATAATCCAGTGCCTTAAAAAAAAATATGAACTATACCTCGGACTCTACTTAGACAAAAGACCTGGAAAGACAAGAACTGACTAGACGATATAACCAACTCTCGCATCTTCTGGACTACAGATCCTCACTTAACTTACGAAACAAGCTACTGATATACAACACCATACCGAGATCAATTTGGACATACGAACCGGAAATGTGTGGTTGGGTAAAACAAACACACATTAATAAAATACAAACAACACAATAACAAACTCTACGACACATTGTCAGCGCACCTTGGAACATTTCAAATAGCACTCTACATAACGACTAAACATCCCAACAGTAAAATCGCACATCCACGTCAAATACACTTCATTTCATTCTTCTCCTCTCAATCATCCAAACCCACTTGTTCTGTCTCTTTCTCTGTTACGGGACTAAAAAGAAAATGGCCAAGGGACCTACTCCTACAACAATAAGAAAATTAAGTTTATCAAGCAAACTCGCAGTTAATAACTAATCCATCAAATTTGCTTGGTGAGCTGCAGCGCAGGTGCAAATGACTTAAAATTAAACATTAATCCATAAACTAAACCTGTAGGCGATGGGTGAATTATTCAAGGATAAAATATTTGAAGAGGTTACTCCAAATCAGGTGTCTAAATAATGATTAATTTACTCTTCATATTACCTTTCCATCAATCTCTATCAATAATCGAGTCCATATATATTACTCAATCATTCGAATAAATAACTAACTATGATGATAATAACTTATATCATGAATTTACCAGAAGCTTAACTTGCCTGAAATATGAGATAGGAACGAAGTATACATTCTGGTTTCACTAGATTCTATTACTTAAGTCTATTATTTATTATTTAATATAAAACACACAACCGCCCGCGTTTATAGTTTCTATAATTATAGTATATTCAAATCATGTAAATTCAATTTCCCGATGAGAAGTTAAAATCTCAATCCACCAAAAAGCCTCTACACATTAATTAGATTCTTAGTTGATAAGAGGCCACGTGGAAGACCAGAACTGATGGATAGGCCGAATTAACAAATATGCTGCAGAACTGTTTACAGATAACTGGGATGTTGGAGATGAAGAAATATGGTTTTTTTTAGAGGTTATTGTTAAACAATTCCTTCAAATGTTCAATTAAGACTCATCGCATCCGGGGACACAATTTAAAAAAGAATGAATCACTAAAATTAAAAGTCTTGTAATAATAAATAATAATAAAAGGCTTAGCGAACCCGAAAGTTCGATGCTGACACCACCAATCTCTTATTACACACCTCCCTCCACCGTTCACACACCAAACCCAGTCCCTTCAGATCGGCTTTAATGCAATCTTCCCACCGTCGCTTCGGTCTACCCCTCGGACGTTAACCTTTAAGTACAGTAAATATTAATCTTCTAGGAATTCTCTCGTTACTAAGCCCGACAATTTTACAAGCCCATTTGATTCGTCGCAATGAAATTACCTCAATTATATTACCCGGATACAGCTCACGCAATTCGGCGTTGTGTAACCGTCTGAACTCTCCGGTTAACTCAACCTTCGTCAGTCCGAATATTCTACGCAATACTTTATTTTCAAATCCTTAAGACGCTTCTCATCTCTTAATGTAAGCTGCCAAGTTTCGCATCCATAAAGAACTGTAGGTAAATTAAAGGTTTTGTAGATTCTAATTTTTAAGTTCCAGGACAAGAGGCACGAGCTAAGTAGTTTTGTCACAGAAAGATAACAAGCATTTCCCGCCTTCAGTCTAACCTTAATATCTTCTTCAATTTCGCTTTTCTAGTTATCGTAGACCCTAGATACCTAAACTTCTCTACCTGTTCAAACACATTACCATCTATATCGATATCACCAGTAGTTTTGCCATTTTTGCAGCTAACCATATGTTTTGTTTTATCCGTGTTTATTTCGAGTCCTAGTTCTTTACCGGCTTTCATTAACGTTTAGTTTTATAGTTTCCACGTCTTCGCTTAACAGTACCAGATCATCATCATAGCCCAGCCATATCCAACCCTTTCTCGGTACGCATTACATCCCTAATGGCATGTTGTAAAGCCAAATTGAACAGGACAGACGAAAGGGAATCCCTCTGTCTTGTAAAAATAAAAGTCTTGTAAAAATAAATTATTTCTTCCTTCTATCGTGCTTGATAAAATCTTCTGCGTAAATTAGCAAATTAACACTTTAACATTTTTCTCGGAAATTTAATAGACCACTATGAAAGATTGAATGAAAATATGTAGTAACTCAAAAACAGTCTAATATTCAACTTTGATTAAGAAAGTCTACTGTTTTCTTAATCAACAGTCGAGTTCCTTAATTGTCTTTCCTCTTCAAAGTTGATAAACTAAGTTTCCTTTGTACAAGTAATCTAAGAGCTATATTTATTTTTAGAGAATTTAGAAAAAAATAATTGAAAAAACTTATTTCGCATTCACAAAAATATTAATGTCTGTATATTTATAATTCACCTATTAAATTGATGAGTTTATTTATATAATTCAGAATCATTATATTAGTCATTTAGTATCTTCTAATATTAATTGGACTTAATTTGTCCAATTGTAATATTATAAGCGATAAAAAAATACACAACAAATCTACATAACGTATAATATGTTGCTCTCTACTCCTTGAATAACGGAGCGTGCCGATTAGCCAATAATCCAGAGAGGTTTTCTGCCAGATTTGGTGCTCCGAGAAAAATCGGGCTGGATAAGAGGAGGAAGTGGGCGGAGTTCCGTCAAACACTGATAATGCTGACGACAGCTGATACATTGGAAGCTCTGCCGAAGGAGGCAGATACAAACACCTGCCAGCAATCTTCCACCTCCCCTCTCCTCTTTATTTATAACATTCCCCATCTCGGTTTCCTAGTAGCCCGTGATATTTTGATATATCTGATACCTCTCATTAAAACCATTTACACAATAACAGTCCAAGCGTGCCAATACGCATTTCAGATTCCTCAGAAGCTTATCCTTCGTTAATGATTGCTCCATACGAGTTAGTTAATTGTAGATGCTTTGATAGCTGTTGATCTCAGAAAATCACATTGTAAGTAAAGGTTCATTTTATCACACCTGTTTACAAAGCTAAGGCCTGTTTAATGTTGAACCAATTTAATAATAATTTAATATTATTAGAGAAAACATTAAAAGTTAAGCACTAGTCCGAATAGATTAATGTTTGCAAAAAAAAAATCTTTATGAAGCCGTAATGCGCTGAAAAAACCCATTAATTCGTGCCCAGAACCACTTATAGGTTTTTAATTACATTCGAGACACTATTTCACGAAACCAATAACATCTTTTATTTTTAAGAATCCAGTAGTTTCCCTGAAAAGTTATAAATTAATTTTTAATAACATGTGAATGTTCCGAAAATAAACTGTTAAGAGACAAAATTCACTAGTTTTTATGTTTCAGGTATTAATACTTCGACATATAAAAAAATTTTTTTTGCTTCATTAGGTAATTTTAGACTGTTTTTTTGTTCTTATAAGTTCAGGATTATGTTACCAATGACAGTCTCTTTTTTTATTTAAAATTTTTATTTCTAGAGAAACTTACCGTGTCCATGCACCATATTCATCTCTTTTATTAGTTTTGTCTATTTGAAGACATAAATGATAAGAATAGTGTTCTTGTTCTTCGTCTCATGTTAGCTTTCTCCGAGAATAGGACTCCTCTTTGTCCAACACCTCAGTAAGATGGTCTTCGACAGCTTTCGGAGAAAGCTAACATCAGACGAAGAATAAGAACACTGTTGTTATCATTTATGTTTTTAAATAGACAAAACTAATAAAAGAGATGAATATGGTGCATGGACACCGAAAGCTTCTCTGCAAATAAAAATTTTAAATAAAAAAAGAGACTCTCATTGGTAATATAATCCTGAAACGTTGCTTTTTTAAACCCAAATCTGTGTGTGTGTGATGAGGGAGCTGGTTGTGTGTAAATATACCTAAATCAGAAACACTATTGGGAACAGAAACATAGGAAAGTTGCATTTGGAAATCGAAGTATAAATTAGTGTATACCAACAAAAAAATTTTAATAATTGCAGTTTTATATCTCACGGACCAATATACCCTGCAAATGGTCAACTAGTAAAATAAAAGTTTTCTTAGTCTCGGTATATTTTATTCTACATATCTCTTAAGATCGGTTACTGATTGCTTCATTAATAAATGTAAGAAAAGGAGGGGCTAATGAAGAAGCTGGTAGGACAGAGACAGATTGATAATTTTATGCGAAGGGGTTGGGGGCTGACCTTTTAAAAAGTTAATTAGGGTGCGGGCGAGTGAATGGGGTCCTCGAGGGCCCCACTCGGGGCCAGTAAGTAGTCTCCTCCGCCCTGCCTATTCAGCCTCCACGCGTCCTCTGAAAGGTGACCCTCGTTAGGGTTCCACTTGAAACAAAGCCGACTGTCTAGTAGAATACTGATTAGCAAGGATACTTTCCGCCTAGGAATCAAACAGCTACCTTATCATGCAGTTCAACAGAAAATATCATTGGTTCCATGGTTTGCGATCTTAAATCTCATCTCGACCGCTCCAGCTAAGTAAAGATGACCAGGATTAGGATAAATCATAACTAATAAATGTCTATATCTAATGGGTATAGCTAAGAGTGGTCACTGCCCAACATGCCAATGCTTGGAGGATCCAAGACACATTGCCTTCAAGTGCAAAAGATTCGAGAAGCGAAGAATAATTAGTTTAGGATCGCAAACTACGGATGGTGGAGCAAACTTTCTTCGGTCGATGAATAAAGATGACGCCCGTGACTTGATAAAGTTTTTGAATGATATAAGTCATGTAATAAAAGTCGCCTCTTATTCTCATTTAATTGTAATTCTGATTCGCCTCAGTTCCAAGTTCTATACAAGCTACATTCAATATTTAGTTACATTCAGTGATCATCTATCTATAAATAATTTATATATATATCCAGTATAATTTCATCTTACTATGACAATTAAAATATTTTACTGGCAAAATAGGACTTGCTTTTACAAGTCTTAAAGCCAAAAAAGAACAAAAAAAAAAAAATGTTTTTACAAGTAAATGATTGAAAAAAAAAAAAGAAACATATTTAAAAGTACTGATCTGTCCTTACACAAAGCTAAAAAATTAACATGATTCTCGAAAATAAATCTTTTTTTTTACGTAATTTGAATTGTAAGGTGATTTAAAATTATGAAACTTTCTGTTTGCTTTGAAGGATAAATTAAATTTTTTGTTTATAAATTTAAAAACGCATAGGATATCCTCGCATTTCATAATGATCCCCAATCTTATTTAAATTTCTCATATTCCACATAACAACCATGTAAATCAATCTGACATCGGAAGAGGATGCAACCGTACACATGAAGAAATTCTTAACACCGAGTTTAATTTTCCAATGCTGGTTGAGAAGATGGACGACAGAGATTAAAGCGGAAAACAATGGGCTCTAAGGGAAGACGAGAACCGAGCAAGACAAGACGGCGGCCTGTGGAGAAGCCGTTCTTGACAAGGATGGATACCAGTCAGGAGTAATTACACTCGGCCTAGCCAACTAGTAGCCCCAATAAATTTCCGGGCAAACTCCTCTTTTATTAACTTGAGGGAACACATATGTTATACGGAGGGGGCACCATACATCAACTCCATCCGTTCTAAGTAGCGGTCAATGTGGCTGATTGGCCTTCTCAGTGGACGTTAAAAGGGGAAGGAATGGATTTTAATATGTTACCCCCCTTTAACCACTTGAATTGAAACTCAAGGAATCCATTATATACATTAGAGGGAACAATCCATGAATTGTTTTTTAGAAAACATTTATTGTAATATTTATTTATGTTTACAAGTTTCGGTTGCTTGAAAAAATATCTGGTGTGTCCACTCACACGACTTTCCTACTTATTTCAGAAAAGTTTTTATATCTTTACATATGTTCATGAAGAAACAAAGAATAATTGAACTAGATTTATTTTCCTGAAAATTGATCAAAGAAAAGATTTGAATGCGATTTATTTGATAAACTAAAGCAATGTAAACCAGCTTAACGTAGATCAGTGTAAAAATTACAATACTCACTAATATTGCTGATCAAAAACTTTTTGCTATAGCTTAGTATTGTCAAACAATAATTTCTGTTAAAAGTAGAGGAAATAGTGAAGCTAGTGTGATGCGGGCAACAAATTTTCTTACTTTCACTTAGTCTCCTTTCTGATACCAGGATATGAACCCGTAATCTGAAATTGAATTGAATAGTAACTTCGTTAATAGTTGTCCAAAATGAACGATTTTTATATAGTTTTCACCTTTCAAACGACAGGCGTTTTTTTCAGGACTCTGAAACGTATAGATCCGTGATTCAATTACCTTTCAAACGCTTTAAGATAAATTTTACCGTATAATATATACTTAGGGAGTTAGTCCCCAGAACATTTTTCTTTTCTTTATAACTTTTTTTCCTGATTTTTTTCGGGTATTTAGTCTATATACGAAAACTTAAAGGACAATTATCAGAACATTATAGGAAAGTTTTATCAAAATGGTTAGAGCCGTTTTCGCGCTACAGTCTATAGAAAAACATGTTTTTCATTTATTTCGCGCAAGCTATTGCGCATAGAGCACAGAATTTCTGTCACAGACATCAGTAGTCAAATTCGTACAAAATAAAAAAAGAAGCAACAAAATCAGTTCAGTAGTTCCTGAGAAAATCTTGGCACAGACAGACAGACAGACCAATGGCTAAAAATGTTTTTTTCGGACGCAAGGGGCTCTGAAACGTATAGATCCGTCGAAAACCGCATATTGGAAATTTGACCAGATTACAATACTTTCCTTACCTAGTATAGGTAGGAAAGTAAAAATATGTAAGGTACCTCTGAGTATACTTGTACAAAAATATCACCTGAAACATAAATAACGTAGTAAAAAATAGAACTGATCAGACAATACAAAGAACTGTTCCATCTCTTAGACTGCAGATCCTCTCTCAACTTACAAACATACCAAGCGACTAATCTACATCACTATAATAAGACCTATTTGGACCAATTAGGGATCTGCTAGACACGCCCATATAAACAGAATATAAATCGCCCAATCCAAAATTCTTCAAAAAACTAAAAATGCACCTTTGTTTATTTCCAATCACATCTTACACAACATAGACTAAATGTTAAATGTTAAGCTGGTAATTTAATATATATATATATATACATATTTATAAAATAAAATTAAGTATATATATATATATATATATATAAATTAAATTAACAGCTGTGGAATACTTCTACCACTACCTTGTTTTAATTATGCTAACTTTATTATAATTTTTTTTTGTATATGTCAACCTCAAAAAGTCTAGTAGTCCTGGACATCCTTGAAATAATTTATTTCTGAAATAAATCATATGATCATTTCATGAATGAAATATTTACGAAATAATGTTTTTTTCTGAAAGAATATTTCAAATTGCTAATGAAATAATCTCGATGAAATAACTTTTAACTAAATTTATTTCTGAAATAATTATTTCAATATTTTAAAATTCATTGAATATTTCAATTTTTTTTGTGTTTTTTGTTATAAATGATTTAATTTTGGCTAAGCTAGAATATTTTAATCTTTAAGCCTCTTATTGGTGTTATATACATATTAATTTTTGGTATAATGCAAAAAATTTAGGCCATTAGCGCCTGATTAATAAAATAATAATAGGCGAAAAGATGGAGGAAAAAAAAAGTTGTGTTTAAAACTTGATTTTAGTAACGGATATAAGTTTATTCTTTTTTATAATTAGTGGTAACTTTCCACTAGTCTTATTAGAGGAACCTATTTTTTTCTAAGCAGGGATTATTTAGTTTAATTTCTTATTGGCTTTTTATATGGTTTTAAGTATTTTGTCCATAGTTATATTTATTTTGTATTGCATATATTGCTAATTTAATTCAAGTTTTTAGTTAATTTAGTTATTAAAGATAGCAGTTCGTCTGACAATTTGTTTTTGTACAAATCTGTCATTCTTAAGGGATATAATGCCATTGTTCAATCACGGTAATTTGGTATGAGCCAAACATTACCCAACGATCTGTAAATAAATTGTGTGCACTGGTGATTGTGAAAAATGGTGTGGACTGTATGAGGATGGATCACTGAAATTTGATACTTGATTAAATTAAACAAAATATCGAGACCATGATTATATTGCATATAATTGAATAAAATAAAGTAAATGAAATTTGTGCCTTTGTATAATTTTTTGTTTCTTTACAGATTAATTACATATTGCTGATTGTGATATTACAATTTTTAGTTCGATATTGTCATGTTAGAAGTGATTATTGCTTGATTGTTAGTTTGGGCTCACTTGCTGTCTGAAATTGAGCTACATGGTTTTGGCCACCTCTTCTCCCTCCCCATACTCCCTCTACCAGGCCGTTCTCTTATAATTTAGCAACTCATATTTTCTTTTCTTGCCATTTCTTAAGAGAGTACCTTAATGTGTGCACATTTCACCAAATGAATAGATTAACTCTACAGGAATGGGTACGTCAGTAACATTACTCTACATAAAGACTTACAGATGCCAACAGTTAACGACCACATACGAACATACTACAAACGATTTCATAATAACTTACACGGACATACAAACTCATTGATTCGAGGCATGGCCACACCGATAGCACCCGAAGGAGGCTTAAAAGAAGCTGGATGAGGGATCTCCTCCACTAACTATAAATATAACGCTCAAGACAGGAAGGACGCCGCTGGGTACTCCTCTCCCTCACGCCTATTCCAAGACCAATCTCTTCATCTTGACATCACACTCGCTGATTGTCGGAACTTCTGACAGGTGTGAGTTGAAGAATCAAGTTAAAAAAAAAAAAAAAAAATCTACAGGAATGGTTCGCAACAAAATGGTGGCCATGAAATGGTGATGAAATTCTGAATTGTACAATTGTTATTTTTTGTGTTCAGGGGTTGATCCCTGAACAGCCAGAATAAAGTTTTTTGATCCATTCTATTCTATTTTATACTCTAATAAATATTTTAATTTCAGATTTTGTTGATTGAGGCCGCATCACGCTAATGTATTGAGTGTAATGAATGTACAGAAAAGTAATTTTTACGAACACGTCACATTATAAACAATAATAAAGACAATTCGCTGCAAGGTATGAACGAGGAAATGCTGCGGGATTGGCTAGTTTTGTCCCCGCGAGAGCGAATCTAAGTTTGTGGATTGAAGACGAGACAGTTAGGGACCTTTAGAGCTGTCATTGAAGGTAATTGGCCCCGGCGACAAACTTGGCCCTACTAAGCGAAGCCTAATCGTTACCCCCTCCACTCACCTCCCCCCCACTCGCCAGAACCGCAATATTATATCTTCTAATCAAAGTCCCGCCATAAATCATAACTCCAGCGGCGAAACGGCCGCCAAAAGAGGAAACAGCCGCGATAAAAATATTTTTACGAAAATAATCCTTCAGTCAGCGATTCATAATCTCGGAGTCATTAATCTTTTCCTCCAAATTATGATAATATAATCGTTGTGTCATAATGCCCTGTTGTGTTTAGACGCAACCAAGATTAAAATTAAATCCTATCATGTCTCAAAAAATTTGCAAGTTGATAATTCGATGGCTTCCTATTATAACCCTACACCAAAGCGACGAACTTGACATTTACTTACATGAACGTGACATTGACATTTCATTACTAACCGAAACTCATTTTACTCAAACTACAAAATTTTACATACAAGTATATGCAGCGTATCGCGCTGACCATCCCAGCGGTACTGCCCGTAGTGGCTCAGCTATAGTCGTGAAACTAAAATTATACCACTATCCTCATTAAATGACTGCCTAAGCAGAAATTCAATGTCATCCATCTCGGTTGAAATCAATCACAACAATATTTCTATTGCCAGTGCTCACTGCCCTCCGATACTAAGAGTTTCACAGAAAAAGTTTACGTACCTAAATTTTTGTGTGGGGCGAATTTAACGGCCAACAATCCCGTTTCGGCAATAGGACCCACGATACTAGAGAAAATGTTCTTTTCAATACATTTTTCGAACTGGACTAACTCCGGGACAAATATTATTTAATAAATTTCATTCCATTATTAACAATACAATTGATCTTACTCATTCATGTATGGCACAACATCCCGTCACCGAGACTGGGCCTCCTCCAAGAGCCTCCGCCAGTTGGCTCTGTCTTCTGCTGCAGCTCTCCAGTTCCGCACACCAAGCAGGGTTCTCGCATCATAGGCCACGTTGTCCAACCATCTCGTCCTCGGCCTTCCTACCCGTCTTACGAGGTGCAGCTCCTCCATCATTATTTTTTTTGGTATTTCAAGGGTGCTCATTCTGGCCACATGCCCTGCCCACCTTAGTCTGGCCAGTTTAATATACGTGACAACGTCGATGTCTGCATAGAGAGAACTGAGCTCCCTATTTTTTCTTTTCCTCCAGACATCACCCTCCTTTACTGGACCATAAATCCTTCTGAGGACTCCTCGCTCAAAGACACTCAGCTTCATCTCATCCCTTTTAGTCATCGTCCAAGCCTCTGAGCCATATGTCAAAACAGGCCGAACAAGGGTCTTGTATATGATCAGCTTGGTCTTCTTTGAGAGGTACCTACTTCTTAAGTGTCGGCCAAGTCCAAAGACACATCTATTGGCAGCCGTGATCCTTCTTTGTATTTCTTGAGTCATGTCATTCTTGCTATTGATTTCAGACCCAAGGTATATAAAACTTTTCACTCTCTCAAACTTAAAAGAACCTACCTCAAATGGAGAGTTCAGATCCACCTCACCGCCAACTCTCATATACTTAGTTTTCCTCTCGTTGACTTCTAGACCAAGTGGTCTTGCAGCTGCTTCAAGGCTTATAAACGCTTCTCTGAGAGCCCGTTCAGACCTACCTACTATGTCAATATCATCAGCAAAACCAAGAAGCTGTGTCAGGCGATTGAAGATTATATCTTTGGTCTGAATACCGGAGTCTTACTACAAAATAAAATACCGAAGATGATAAAGAATGCGATCGAGACGCTTACTAAGACTGTATAAACTGCAGCCTGGCAATCAGCAAACAAACCGATAAAAACAATACTTATCCCCGGAAATGCGGCCACTTCTAACTGAAAAACGACGTGCGCTAATGCAGTATCAGAATTAATTCAGAATATGTCAAAACAAAAGGAACTGCTTTAGCCGTGTAAGGGAAGCGAGACATGTATTATTAACGTAAATCCATCTTGATGGTAGATATGTATAAGTATATGATAGTAATTTAATGGTAAATATGTTCTTGGGACTGAATGGATTTATTAATGTCCAAGCGGATTAGTGATAAAAGTAGTTGAGAAATGTGCAAAAACAAATGAACAATATGTCATCATGATTTTTCCCAGTACCGAATCAATTAATTATATTTTCACGGTTATCATAGAATTGATATTGTGCTACAATGCCGTACAATTTTTCCATTTCAAATTTTCACGAGTGTTAATTTTTAACTACTTCCCACTAATGTATAATACACATAAGCTATAGATATTTAAGAGAATTCACAACTAAAATTTGACTGAATGTTATAATTGCAAAAGGTCAAAAATTATAATAATAATAATAATAACCTTTATTTGTGCATACAATGAAAAAACAATGGATAAAAATATACAAAATCTCTTATACGTACAAAATTAACTTAGTTGAGGTTTTGAGTTCGATTTGTTTTTTTGTTTTTTTTATATTTGACTTTCTTGTAACCACACTAGGTAATGAACCTGTCCCATCCTTTTCCATTCTTTCCTCTCTAATGCTACTCTCTTCCAGGCTGTTCCCCCGCAGGTCTTCTTCATCTCCTTGTCCCAGTCTGTCGGCGGGCGTCCTATCTTCCTCACGTGTTCTCTTGGATACCAACCCATAAACTTATACATAGTTCAAAACTTATACAACACTGAAATAACCATGTATGCATAGCCAGTTCTATAAATACCACTACAAATCATTGATGGGCATACCTTCCTGGCTCCTCCCTTTATGTTTGAAGTACGAAATGCCTTTATATTAATTGAATTATTGTTCAAATATCCGAATATCAAATCTCGGAACGGAATCAGCTTTCTGGCTAACCAGTCACATTAATTTAAGCGATGGAAATGATGTTTTTTATAATAATATGAGAAATATTATATACAATTTTCCTTGTTGGCTACAGTATAGCCTCATTACCGCGACCTCGGAAAAGACAAACTCATTATAAAAGCGAACAATGATTCTAGAAAAAAAGATTTATTTTCCATAGGGCACCCTCGTTTAAACTAACTAGTTCCCTTAATATACTGTGTACTAATTTTGGAATCATAGTAAGAAATAACTTCTTACAAATTACTATGCAAGCATTTTAGAAGTAACCTTCCGTTTCTCATCGCAACATCAGAGTTTGTGAGAACCGCAAATTGAAAATGTATCAAGTTACCTTCAACTCAACAATTATTTATATTCCTGTTATTTATATTAACCCTCTGCCCAGAACAACCTTCGGTACCTCTTATAAGGAACACCCATCATAACGTCCGCTATTTAAAAAAACAAGAACTTTTTTTTATCATTTGCACAATTTTATAATAAATACACTCATCCTTAGTTCAATATAATAAACTAGAATCCAATATATGATAAAAAATAAGTCTTCAAAAGAAAAGTAACGTCAATAAATCATTTGTTTTTTTATCATTGTTACTATTAATTGAAAATAAATTATACGCGCGTCCAGCAAAGGTTTAAATAAATAATGAATAAATATTATGTTAATTCATATTTTTTAAAAATATCTACATTAACATAATTTTTTTTTTTATTGGTTTTTACGAACTGCGTTTGTAACGAACTTAGAATAAACAGCATACGATACATACTATTAAACGTACTGAACTGATACGAACAAGTAAAGGAAACATATATTTACACATTTATCCAACAAGTTAAAGGACCAAAATGTGACATATGGCAAATTTGAATGTCAGAGGAACATATTTCTTGAAACATTGAATATAAATTGAAAAAAGACGAATTGAAAATTTGTGCCCTAGGGAGGGAAGGGCCGAGGACAAAATCTATTAGGGATAGAAAAAGGGCTCTCAGAGGACAAATAGCCAGGCCGCAGCACAAATCGAGTTGGGAGGATGCAAAACAGTCCTGATAGCTTCTGCAAAGGACCCTGCGGCAAAGGAACCACGGCCAAAGGAACATATCCAGCATCCTCCACGTCGATGAAAGAAAAAAGAGGACCTGAGGAATCGGCGATACAACTGGGAAATGCTACAATTTCTTCACGACTAGTACTCCATTCTTTTTTGGACTAAAGACATCCAAAGTGCATCTTTACAATCAATACATTACTTTTGAATGTGAAAGGATGTGTAGCCAATTTTTTTTTTGGACTTAAGTTGTTATTTATTGAAATTTACAACTATATTAAATAAATTCCACCAGTAAATATGAACAAAATCAATAATAATGACGTTAAGAGACTAATCGAGACTATCCAATGATAGCACTCTCGAAATAGTTCTAAGAAGATCCCAAGGCCATCTTATTTTCAGATACCAAGGAAGATTATCATGGACCAGGAAGGAAGTAAAGCTGAAAAAAGTGAGTTCGGGTGGTTCTGAAGTTTTTTTGTGACAGGACAGGATTATAAATCAGGTCAAATCAGTTACGCATGGATCATCAAGGATTGTATACGATAGAAATTCTACGGTTTATGGGGACTCAAAGCCGAACTAGGTATGCCCTTATAGGCCTTATTGTAGTCATCTAAATGACATTTTTGTAATTAATTGGAAGCTTAGACCTTTTTTCTAGGAAATGTTGGAGCAGCCGGAAAGGTCGAATAGTTTATTATCGTTTCAGGCTAGTATGAGAATTCCAAATAAGACGTCTGTCCATGTGGATTCCTAGGTAGCGGATTTGTTTAACAGGTATATGTGTCATATTATTAGATATATTTAATCATTGAATTTATTTAATGTTATTAAAGAATACTGTTGGACAAAATGCAATAAGTTTATAACACAGTAAGCTTTAATTCTACAAAGCATGGATAAAGATAATCCATGTTTACAACATAAAAAAAACTGATGTGTGTGCTTTAGATCACACGAAGAAGTGAAAACATCAACAAGGGGAGATTTATAATATGAAATATAAATAATAAATAATAGCTCATTTTAAACATTCCCCTCGCTTACAGTATGCAGGTCTTACTTTTACTTTCTGAGAGAATTCAATCCATATCATTAATAAAACTCGTTATAGTATTTAGTTTTCTACACTATTTTTTCCCTTTTGGTCTCTCGAACACGGCGTCGCTTTAAGGTACAATTAAAAAAAAATAGCCCATTACAAACAGGATGCAATAATGAATATTAACCTAGAAAACAATATGCAGGTCCGAATTTTAGTTTTGAAATATTTTAATCCATATGGAAAAAAAACTTCAAGGTTAGGTTAGGTTACGAGTTGTCTTAGGCGATCAATAACTTGGTTATTATGTCCTAGAGGTATGATGTTATTATGTTTTACTTATCTTTCTGAACGTAAAAAAAAAAAAAAAAAAATGCATTAATTTTATATTCTATGGCACAATTGTGTTTTATAATATTTTCTATTGAATTTACAGAGTATTTTGCGGATTTAGCATTTCATGGGCAAAATAGCTCACTCAGGTTTTGAAACAGAATTAATTCAGAATCAAAAAATTCACTCAGTTTAATGAAAGTTGGAATAAAATTGAATCACATTTATAGAAAAGCTTATGCATTAGAAAGAGAGGTTGACTTTGAAAAAAAAAAAATACTTATAAGGCTTTTAAAGACATTATTATACTTCAAAATCAATTTGAATGAGATTTAGTTTGGAAAAGAGCAGGAGAGAGGATCTTAAAACAATGGCAGCAGTAGACTCAAAGCAGAACACAATCTGACGCTTTAATTTTACAAATTTATTTGTCTTTTAGTTATTTTATTGTTATTTATTGTATATGTATTATTTTGGTATTCAATTGATTTTTATTTATTGTACATAGAGTGTGAATATGATTTCTGATCACTAACACAAATGTCCTTTGAGAAAGATTGTAATATTTATCAATAAAATAGTTCTAAAAAAAAATATCTAAGGATGGTTTTCAGTTTGACTATATTATTGCCCTGTGACATAAATGTGGCCGAAATTTTGAAATGACTCATATGCTCGCTTAATGCGCTTCCATTATTAGTAAAATTAAAAAAAAATAAATAAGTGCAGTCAATAGACATATAATATATATTATAATAGCATTTATTTCATTTGCCGTTTAGAAGTAAGCCATCATCATTTCCTCTCTTACCTTAATATTACAAAAAAACATATGAAAAACCAATCAACAACTGTTTCTACCATCTTTAATACCGTTAGATCCGAGACGAAAAAACTCCTCATCACCATGAAGAACTACGACAAAGGCGGAAAGATAAATGCAATAAACGCTACAAGAATACACAGTATATGTATATATTGGCCCCACCACCAACCAACTTATTATAGAATAATAACTATTGTCCATATAATTTTGCCAGCCCATATATATATTTTTTTTAAATTCATAAACCTGATTTCTCCATGTTTTATGAAGAAGTTACACTTATAATCTTAATGGGCAAAACTAAATTATTTTTAAACATCATAAAAATATAATAAATTAACTTCACGAGTTCGATCTACGATACGAAAACAAGTTTCGGTTGTTCTTTCACTGATTTTTATAAATTGATCAAAATATCAACTTCTAATTTCAACAACATTAATAGTTTATCTCTTAAGTTAAACTAAACGCAAATTAAAATAGTTCACATATTAAAAAAAATTATTTATGCTATATGATTCTATTTAAAATAATTCTAATAAAAATTGTTACCTGAATTTCCAGTTTGCTGGAACTCTCCTGAAGCGGAGTGGTCCCGTTGTACCAGGTGACATTGGCAGGAGGGCGGGCACTCTGGACGATACACTGGAGTTCGACCTTGCTTCCTCTAACCACGTGGGATTCAACCCCGATCATTTTCAGACCTTTCGGCCGCACTAGAAAAGATAAGAAATAATTTAATGATGTGAAGGATCAATAAAAAAAAATATATAAAAGATTAGATGTGAAGTAGTGATTGAGTATAAATTGTTGTTAATGGTTGCATTTAGTAAAGGATAAGAAACACAAAGCCATGAGAAATCTGGCACGAAGTACATAACTCAGCTTTTACTTACAAGCCTATTGAAATAATCAACTTTCGCTGCTTAAAAAAAAATTGAGTGGTATACAATTTTCTAACAAAAGTAAGATACAATAATATAAGTAAAAGTCACCATTTAGGTTGGGAATTTCATTTAATTTCTATGAAGACATTCGGTTTCTGTTGAATGGTGTCAGTTCTTCAAATTGCGTATGCCGATGACACATGTGCATTATCAGTTAATAATAACCCAGCAATTGCATCCCAAACTCTTCAATCACTCGTCAAAAACCTTGAAGAATGTTGTCAAAACTAGAAGATTGAAATAAATTCCAATAAATCACACCAAATCGCCTTTATTCTTCGTTGTAACCCTATGACTTCATGTCCTACAGTATCCTTTAATAATATCCCACTTAATTAGGACTACACTTGGAATCCTCATACCAGATTGAAACGACAAGAGAGTGCTCGACGTTTCCGATTACTTCTGCACTTACCAGACAAGCGCTCTAACCTTTCAATCAATTACAAAAGACTCATATACATGACTGCAATAAGACCTATTAGGACTTACGGAGTTGATTTGAGTTGGAGATATGGGATTTCACAAAGCCATCGAATCCCTCACGTATCAAATCATAACAATCCTAAATCCTTCATAAAATCTTCAACTCTCCTTACTATGTCACTAAAAAATCATCCATAATGACCTTAATGTTCCTTATGTTTCCGATTTGGCCCAATCCAACATATGTCCTTCCATAATAAATTCAGAACTATAAGAACCCTCTCGTTTCTAACCTTGGTTCCTCTACGATCACTGATAGCCCATCGAGACGTCTGAAAATAAGATGTAGCAAATGCATTTTTAGAGTGCTACCACCGGACTGGTAATGCCGGCGACGCGGTTGAGAGAGAAGCGCTGGGATCTCTCAGAGTCTCGCTTTGTCCTTCACACGTGGGAGAAAGGGAGATCTCTTGCCTAATTGTAAATATTGTATTTAAGTAAGAATGTTTTTCTATTTAATTTCTTTACGAATTTCTGTATTTCATTTAATTTTAACTCTAAGTTACATTTCCTTGGTTTATTGTAGTTTTTTCCTTTGTTATACAGATTTTTATATTTTTTATTTATTTATTTTATTTATTTATTTATTTTTTATTATTATTTTTTTTTATGTATTGTATATATGGTATGAATGTGCCTCACTCAGCCTTAGTACTCAGTGCCCTTAAGTGTGGCAAAATGTATTATTATTCAATAAACAGATACAAAAAAAAAAAAAAAAAAAGTGGCTACCAGTGGATAGTTCCTCAACAAGTGTTTTCATGTTATTATTTCCTGTTATCACACTTACTCAATGTATTTTTATTCTTAATACAGTTGTATATATCATAAATAAAAAAATAAATAAATAAAAAAAGTACTATTCATATTTTTTTCAACACTCGTCATTAAATTCTCCGACTTGATATGTTCGATATTAATGTTTATAAAATATTTAGTTTTTCAGAAATATATACCGTACACACATATGGCGTTTTTATCTTAACATGATATTTATGGAAATTTGTTTGCAAACAGTTTTTTATTTATTTTCGTTAACTATTAAATTCTTTGAGAACATATCAACGGTATCTTAGAGAAAGCTATTTCACTAGCAACATTCAATTTCTGTCAGACTACATCAAAGGAAATAAAGTCTTAACTGATATTAAAAACTTATTAATTATCTGTAGACATAACGAGCTCAAAAAAATCGTTAAAGGCGTTCTCAAGAAAATTGTTTAAAATGGGTTATATAAAGTACAACTCATGGATAGTTAATTTAAGGGAAACGTTGCTGAGGCATTCAAAGCATATACAAGCATCATATAAAGACGGACATATGTCAAAATATCTATAAAGTTGAGAAAAATCTAATTTTCATTGCATATCTTCAATATTAAACATTTGTTATGATTTTTTTTTTACATGTTTTAACTTGAACAATCTTAAATAAAATCATCAGAAACAGTTTGAGTTGAATCTATAAACCAAAAATTGACTTTTACCCACTTTCTGAAAATTACTGATGTTAGTCTTAGATCTTAGACAGAATTTCAGTTTTGTAAGATTTGGTTGTTTGGAATTAGAGGAACTCAAAAGATGTATTTTCCTTGAAAAATCAGATTAGAAATTTTTGTCGATCGTAATAAATTTTCTTTATTTATATATATATATATATATATATATATATATATATATATAATATATATATATATATATATATATATATATATATATATATATATATATATATATCATAGCAGTACGTGAATATAATTATAAATTTTTTTTAATGTATTCTGACAGTTGATGCTTCAGGCCAACTAGAATTACCATCCCTCAGATACTTATGTAAATATATTATTAGAGTGCTACCAATGGGTAGTTTCTCAACAAGCGTTTTCATGTGATTGTATTATTACTGTGTGCACATTTACTAGTTGTATTTTTTTATAATACAGTTATAAATATCAATGAATAAAAAAAAAAAATACATTCATGTATTATGTATATAAAAGAGTAAATACTGTATTATAGTATTTAAGAGCTAATCATTCTGAAGAACTCAAAGTCTATGAAGTGTGAATACCGATAGTAAAAAATGCTCAGTAAATATTTTACCGAGTAAATTTCAATTACAAGAAAAGTTTTTAGCAAATTGAAAGACTAACTAATCAAAATATGATTGAAATAAGATATATTATTTAACTATCAGAGGAAAAAGATTCAACTTGCTCAACAGATTATCAAAGGAGTTTTTATTTTTAGGATGGAAGCGATATTGATGGGGCCCTACTGAATAAGAGTTGTGGGATCGATGATGAAGGTTCATAAATCATCAAAGTTAGTTCAATAGCCAAATTTACCTTCATTGCTCGCATCCTGCCCCGGCTTCATAACTATCTTAAATTACTGACTTACTGCATCAAAGTTACTTTAGGCAGTTCGGGAATAAACCAAGCTCATTAAATAATTCAAATTAAAGAAGGAAAACATTAATAAATTGAATAATAAGTAATATTCATGAAATAAACATTACAGTTGTTAATTTTGACTATTTAATTGAATAGCTTTCAATAAAATAATTATGACTTTTTATTATTTTATTTTATTTTATTTTTCCTTTTTCAAGAATTTAGAGGTAAATTAAAAAAACATTTGTAAAAACGACATTTCAATAAGTACTATATTTTTAATTTATTTTTAATGGGTTGTGTTTCTTTATTAACTTTTAGAGTTATAACCTTCGTTACCAAAGTTAACTTTCCAATTTGGCAATATGGATTATGAAATATCATGAATGTTTAATAAAATATAATATATAATGTGATACTGGCAGAAGTGTGTAGTTAAACATTCATGATATTTCGTAAACCATATTGCCAAATTGGTATGAAAGGTAACTTTGTTAACGAAGGTTATAACTCGAAAAGTTATATATATATATATAATAATAATAAGTCTTTTTGTCTCCTCTACCTTGCCTTTATGGCTACACTACGGACCGGGGAGAGAGCGCGGGGAATTATGCCGAATTAAAAGTCCCACCGGGCATCCGAACATAAAATCGTAATTGTTTTTGCATCTTAAACTTCGGTTATCAGGTTGCCGAATGTCGTGGTGGCCGAGTATGTTGGAGCGTTGTCCGTTTTAGCATTCTCGTGCCTTGCGACGCCGGTTCGAATCCAGCCTGCGAAGGGTTGACCCACAGAATGAAACTTGACCCTCCCACTCAGGTTAAAATATGTTTGGTTGTACCTCTAGAACAACCCCACCATATGCCATAAATGGTGAGTAGGGAGTTATCCAATAAAAAAAAAAGTTTATCAGATTGCCTGGCAACGCACGGTGCTGTTCACACGCGACAGCCCGCTCGGCTTATTCCGCCCCCAGGAATTAGTATTAAAATCTGTGCACACATCCAGTTCTCATAACTGTGGTCCTTAACGCTTCAAATGCAGGTCGTGACCAATTGCTGTACAGTTTACGGAACACCACAGGGTTGGGTTTAGTAGAACCTCTTCAATACCAAGACTGTAATGCTTGAAAATCGTATTTTACCTGATTATTTTTTTCTATCTATACAGCTCATCCATACTACACCCTTGAAGATATTCCGGAAGTCTTGAAGGGCCTTCTCTCTTACATAAATATTTCGTAACTTCTTCTAGTAGGAAGAAGTCGAGAAGAAGGAATATCTATATTTTATACTTTATAAACTAATGTATCTTTGACTGTTGTTTACATCGATATTAAAATTTAACTATTGAAACGTATTTTTCTAAAAAAAAAATAAAAAATAAAAATGTTTTGAGGTAAGCAAGAAAGGTCATCACATAACAAATCATAATGGATCATTTTATGTTTCTGTTAGTTATTTCCAATATCCTTTGGAAATATTAATTCGATTGTAAATATTGAATTAATTAAATAAAATAGAAAACTAAATTACTTCAACATTTTCATTAATTCAATTTTTATGAAGAAAATGCACTCACCACTTCATCTTTTCAAATGAAATGTACCTTTAAAAATGAAACAAAAACGTATCTCAAACAATGACGAATTCCGGTTGCATTTTCACCAACCCTCGAGCTCGGCGCTGACCGCTTCCTCCCGCTGCGGGCAATTCTGTAATGGCTTCTCCCGTAATGAGCTACTCACGGAGACGGCTCGGATGAATAGGATGAAAACCTGGTTCCTTGAATAGCAAGCAAGCAACATGTATACCACCGAGGGGGGAGGGGGACTCCTATCTCCTATTCACCCGCTATTTATTCACTTGCAACAAGAGTCTAATAAGGAGGCATGAGATGGATGTGTATCTGCTCATTTCGAATGGGCTTCATTATAACATCCATAATATCACGCTTTGTAAATGCCTTAATTTTATGTAATTTGTATTATGTCCTTAAATAGTAAATAACTCTAATCTGGCACAAAATTCAAGTAAAGAGTAAACTATGTATTTATAAAAAAATATGAATTTTTTAAAAAAAATCGTTTATACGAAGTATAATTTGGGACCCCAGAAGCAAAGGAGTATAATCGATAAATACTAAATTTCTCTTAAACGATGAATAAAAGTAAACCTCTCCTATGTTTGCAATGATTTTCAATAATGGAGATATTTTAGTAATTTTAAAGCCAGTTCGTAGACCACTCTTTTATTCCGAATATTCCAATCCAGTCCTTCCTTTACAGGGCCAAATATTCTTCCAAGGATTTTCCTTTCAAAGACTATAAGGTCTTTTTCGTCATTTTAGACTAAGGTCCAAAGTGAAAGTTGATTTTATTTAATGTTAATATATTGTTATATAAATGATATTTGTAAATTAGTAAATTCAAGAGCTACTGAAATCAAAATTCAAAGGGATTTTCTTCATCTCGTTATATTAAATTTGAAACAATCGGGAAGATAAAATGTGTTAATTTCTCGGCTTCTTGTTAAATGTACGATTCGGAATTGATATTGGACTCAAATAATATTAAAGTTTTTGACATAACTTATTTCTCTGATCGATAAAAACGTACCAAAATTAAATGTGATGAAAATGTGAAGTGCATGAACGAGTGCTATGTTTCATTTTATTTTTCTTTCTACAAATCCGTTATCTAGGACTCCACCTTGACAAACGACTCACATGGAATCCTCATACAAGACTGAAACGACAAGAATCCACTCGACGTTTCCGACTACTCCAACACTTACTAGACAAACGCACTAAGCTTTCAATCAATTACAAACGACTCATATATATGACAATAATAAGATCTATTTGGACTTACGGAATTGAGCTTTGGGGCTCCACTAATCCATCAAATTCCTCTCGTATTCATTCCTTACAATTCACAATCCTTCGTAAAATCCCTCATAAAGACCTTAATGTTCCATATGTTTCCGATTTGGCCCAATCCAGATACCTATCCTTCCATAACAAAACCAATGCAGAACCATCCGAACCCTCTCGTTTCAAACCTTGCTTCCTCCCTGATAACCCTCCAAGGCGTCTGAAAAGAAGGTGGCCTCGTGATCTTCTTGTGTAAATTTATTATTTGAGTGCTATCAGTGGGTAGTTTCTCAAAAAGAGATTTAATGTTATTATATTCCTGAGTGCACAGTTACTAGTTGTATTTTTTTTATAATACATTTGTAAATATCAAGGAATAAAAAAATAAAAAAATGTTTGCTTTCTTTACACATTGTTTTTTTTTTTTTAAGATTCAAAATTTCGTACAAGTTGCTTTTAATCATAGTTATGGGAGAAACAAAATGGATTATGGCAACCACTTATCCTTGTATATTCTCCCTCGCTTTCAAGGAAAATGAGAGAACCGACTGACTAAATTGTTAGAGGGAGATAAATGAGAATCTGCTGAAATTTGAAATGTTTGGAGCTAGAGCGCTTAAGGAAACCTAATATGATGACGGAGCTAATGTGTTATTTTACCGCTACATAATATCTCTGGTTCGCTTTTCATAGATACAGGTAGAGCAAGCCTCTTTAATATACAGAATATACAACGAGTATTTGAGATATAAGAAGTATTTAATAAAGTTCGTGTTTATTTTATACTTCGTATAATTAATTTTCGTGTTCAGTGTATACTTTTATAGAATTAGAGGAAGAAATCAAACCACTTTTCCTTATTCTATAAACAAGTTTCGACGTTGTTGTTTCGTACCCAAGCTATAAGACATCCTCAGACAGACGCTTAACCGACTTGGGACGACTGGTGTTAAAATAATATATATATATATAATTAATTAGAAATATTTGAATTAGTTATAAGGACGAGATACGGAGCGGTACGGTAATATCGCATTCGGTTAATTGAAATTTCGAAGTCTGTTCATAGGCCGCCGTAAAATCGCAACATGCCTCAAATGAATAATGAACAGCCTTGCTTACTAATAACTAATTGCTTAATTAATTCATTAATCTCGTTTGACTGAGGAGAGGCCTAACTCGTTCTACTACCCCTTATTTAAATACCGTACCCAAATCGTCCCGAGTTCAGTATCGTGCCATTCTAGGAGAGATGCATTAATAACTGATTTTATTCAACGCAAAAAATTGCGGTCATCGGAAAATTCAATGCTGTTGAACGACAGATTATTCATTTCCATCCATTTAGTCTATTATTCAGTTATTAATTTAATAATACATTCAGATTTATGTTCTATTCCGAGCCATCTCCTCTATTTTATTATAATATGAATGAAATATATGATGGTAAGGATTGATATCTAATGGTAGGTTGAATTTTTTTAAATATTATTGTTTCTGAAAAGAATATAATATATTTTTTAAAATGAATGATGATAAAAATATTTTATATTTGTAATAGTTCGTAGTACAGACTCCTTTTTATCGAATTATTAACATCCGCCTGAAACTTCGTAAACAGTTTCTCTCTTCGTAACCTTCAACTATTTTATTTACGAAAACTCTTGGAATTGGGGAATTTTCAATCTTAAGTGAGGAAAACTTTGTCTCCTTAATTAGACAATAAAAACTCGTAAATACTCATCTGCTTTCTTCATGGATCGTAAGATAATTTGATCACAAAATCGACAAAAAAAAAGGTGGCCTACAAAAATATTGAGCCGTTTGTCCAATATAACATCGTTATTTTCAAAATTTGGGGTTGTAGGTCATTACAAACGGCTCAATATTTTTTTTTGGCCACATTTTTTCTCGATTAAATTATCCTAAGATCCAAGTAGAAAGCAAATGATAATTTACGAATTTTTAGTACCTAATTAAATAGACATCTCTTACACATAAGGCAGTGGATCAGCTGATGAGAAGGTTGTCTCCTCAACTCCTCTCTCAGTTTTTACCAATTTTATAGCGGAATCTCTCTGATTATTCACGTGATACAGTTAAAGTGTATATCAGAGCAGTTGATATTTACTGTTGGCATCTTTTTTTTGTTATTTTAAGGAAAAAAAAAAAAAAAAAAATTTTTTTTTTCTTTTTTTTTATTTATTTATTTATTTTTCTCTTATGATATGCGGTATGATCAGCAAGTGATGGCCAGTAAGGTGCCCAAGAGGTCTCGGTCAGACGGAGTTAGCTCACCAGCCAAACAAAGGACTCGTCGCTGCCTACGAGAAATACCTCCAGTGACCAAAATGAACACTTCAGAACCAGAACCTCAGCCCCAACCAGGTACGTCTGCACAAGAAACGATTGAAGAATCACCTTTCTTTACTCCAAACCCCTACCAAGTGCTTCAAAATGACAAACAAGTAATGGAGTCTGCAGCAATACCCAGAGAACCAAAGCCTCCTCCGATATTTGTGAAAAATATAAAAAATTTCCAGATGTTCTGCACCCAACTAAATAAAATCTGCTCTGGCAGTTATTCATGCCTTAACAGGACCAATGACACCAAGATAACACCTGATTCTGCAGAAGCCTACCGAAAAATAGTGAAGTACTTATCAGAAACAAATGCGAATTTTCACACTTACCAGCTGAGGCAGGAAAGAGCTTTACGAGTGGTGATAAGAAATTTACATTCCTCAACCCCCACTGAAGTTATTAAAGAAGAACTAACGACGCTTGGTTTCAATGTACGCCAGGTAACAAACGTTTTGAAGGAGGACAGGGAACAGCCAGGATTACGAAATAGGATCCCACTACCATTGTTTTTCGTGGACTTGGAGCCATCACCAGGTATCGAAAAAATATATGATATCACAAGAATATACTATACAATGGTGAAAGTTGAGAAGCCATATCCCAAGAGAGACATCGTGCAGTGCCATAATTGTCAGACCTATGGCCACACGAAGACATATTGCCACCATCTGCCGCGTTGCGTGAAGTGCGGTGAACAGCACAAATCTGAAGAGTGCACCAAACCTATACAAGATCCAGCAGTATGTGCCCTATGCTTGGAGGGACACCCGGCCAACTACAAAGGCTGCCAAATTTACAAGAATCTCAAAACCAGACACCAGAAAAACCGGATTCAAGATGAAGCACTAAGAACAAGAAGAGAGAGAGAGCCTTCCAGAATTGTAAACAATGATGTATCATTCTCCCAACTACTTAGAGGTAAGACTTTAACCGATAAATGTCAAGCCCTGCCACAACAACAACCTCAAACCCAACCTCAAAATCCTCTTCATCCTAATATACCTAACCACCAACAACAAATTCCTCATATTCCTCCTCCTTCAAATGCAACAGATCTCACAAGTTTGTTAGCATCTTTCCTCACCGATTTCAAATCCCTTGTTACTCCACTCATATCACTCCTCACGAATCTCGTATCTCACCTCATCCCTCCTTTGAAAAATCCTTAAATGACTCACAACCCTAAACCCATATCCATTCTCCTTTGGAATGCGAATGGTGTTAGAAATCATACAGACGAACTATCTACTTTACTACTTGACAAGAACATTGATGTGGCACTAATTACTGAAACTCGACTAACCACTAAACAGCACTTCAATATACCACAATACCTGACATATCGTACTGACCACCCTGACGGAAAAGCACATGCCGGTACTGCTGTAATTGTACACCAATCCCTCTCCCATCACCTACTCCCATTACCAATACATGATTTCCTACAGTCCACCGCTATCGTGATAAAAACCTTCTCCTTTCCGGTCACTCTTGCATCAGCGTATTGCCCTCCTAACCGATCCATATCCAATGCCCAATTCAGTTCTCTCCTCGACTCCTTAGGACATC